TTCCTGTTGCTATTCTTGCTGTGAGTTAAGCCCAATAACAGACTTGTTAGCTTCTGAACCTGCCTTGCCTCAGTTATTAACCCTCTGTCGCCCAACAGAGCACTGGTGACAAGGATGGGATATTGGGCTTGAGGTGACAGGTCAGCTAAGTCACTGCAAACTGGGCATGCTAAGCCAAGTGCCACCTGAGTCACTAGTGTTGAGATATCACTCGAATGGCAATCTCCTCACAGAGCAAGAACCCCATCCTTGTAAGAATGGCACCTCCAACCTTTGCTCCCTTCAACCCGGCGACCGAGACCTGGAACTCCTATGAGGCTCGTTTTGAATGCTTTCTTGAGGCAAACAATTACACGGAGCTGACCGGCAATCGGAAAAGGGGACACTTTTTAAATTCATGCAGTCCTGAGATGTTTGACACAGTACTGGCTTTGCTAGCCCCAATTCCCATCCAGTCGGTACCCTGGGAAGTCTTGAGGGAGAAACTTAAGAATCACTATACACCCACTCCCTTGTGAATAGCTCGCCAGTTCAACTTCCAATACATATTGCAAGCTGAGGGGGAAACCATAAATCATTACATGGCCACCCTCAGGACAGCTGCTTTAAACTGCGAATTCCAGGACCTGGAAGACTCCCTTTTGGAACAATTTGTCTGCGGAGTGAGGGATCTAAGGGTGCAATGCCACTTACTCCAGGATGGAGGTACAGGATCCTCAAAGTCCCTGATCTCATAGGATACCCTAAAGAAATTGGTACCCACATTCACAAAAAGAGCCCTCCAGACCTGTCAAGTGCAGCTTTGTAACTCAGGGAAACCATATCCCTATCTTAGGTCGCACCAAGCTCCTGGTAGAATACAAAAGTTTCACAGGAAGCCTGTCATTAATCATAGTTAATGGCCATCTCCCCAGCCTGCTTGGGCTTGACTGGTTTGGCATATTAGGTCTTGGCATCACTGGCATCCACTCAACCACCATTGACAACTTCGAGGGCATCATGACCGAATTCGCTGAGGTGTTTGATGACGAACTGGGTAAATATAATGGTTCACCCATCTCTCTTAATTTAGACCCCCAAATTGCCCCAATTAAATTGAAACCTAGGAGGGAACCCTTTGCCCTTAGCCATTCGTGGAGAAAGAGCTAATTGCACAGGGCATCGTGGAGCCCATAGGCATTGGGAAGCCCATCTCCCCAATGGGAGACCTCCATAGTGATATCCGTCAAGCTAGATGGGTCAATTCGCATCTGTGCGGATTATAAGTGCACAGTGAATAGGGCTCTTCAGGCCAACCCCTACTCTGTGCCAGTTGTGCAGCACTTGCTGCATTCCCTAGGCCAGAGCTCCATTTTTGGCAAGCTGGATATGGCGCAGGCATACGAGCAGCTCCCAGTGGATGATGCGACAGCTGAGGCACAGACCATCGTGACCCACCGGGGCGCTTTTAAGTGCCAGTGCCTCCAGTTTGGTATAAGTGTTGCTCCTGGCATCTTTCAAGGCCTTATGGAACAACTATTACAAGGTTTGCAGGGAGTTGTTCCATATTTTGATGATGTGCTTATTTCAGCCATTAGCCAGGCTGAACTAAAGCACAAAATAAGGGCAGTCCTACGACATATGTAGGTGCTTAAGTTTAGCTGTTAACCAAGATTTGTTGTTAATGTATATTCGCAAGTTCCTAGTCAGTACACATAGATCTTCACAGAAGCTGACATACAGCTGTATCTGTGAGTTCATTTAAGTTTGCAGAGGTACTTTCGAAAACATTTCAATCAGTGCAGTCAAGGCAGGCCTGTAGCTTTAACTTTGTCTCCTCAGTCCAGGTCCTCACTGATTTAATTGTTGGTTTTGTGGTTTTAGGTCTTTGCCTGTAAGCAGGTATAAGGTGAATCATACAATGATCAGAGTGTCCCACAGCTGCTTGTGGTAAAGACCGATAGCATCTTTTAGTGTTGTGTAGCAATGGTCTAAACCAGGGGTGGGCAATTGTGGCTCTTTTACAACCTGTGGACTTCAATTCCCAGAACCTGAGACAGATTGGCTGTCTCAGGACTTCTGGGAGTTGAAGTCCACAGATTGTAAAAGAGCCACAATTGCCCACCCCTGGTCTAAACTATTCTTGCCTCTAGTGGGACAATTGACATGCTGAAAGTATTTTGGTACTGTGTTTACCCAAAAATAGGACAGAGTCTTATTTTGTTTTGAACCCTGAAATAAGGGCTTGGCCCTTATCGGGAGGTCTTATTATTTCAGGGTGCAGGAGGCCCCGGGCGGCTTGCACACTCACATCCGGGAGTCCGGCAGAGAGAGGCTCCCTTTGTGTGCTGCCATCAAGCCCCTCCCCTCCTGTGGTGTGTGTGTAGAATGCCAGTGACCTGAGGGCACCAAACCGTGCGAGTGCCTTTCCCCAGCCCCCACTTGTGTGCCTCTCAGGCCTCACCACATCGATGTGGGCAAAGCCAGTGAGGACCAGATCCTTGAGGAGCTCGTAGCAAATGCCACCACCAGCACCTGCACAGAAGCCACAGCCTGGGCCAGCTCTTCCTGCAGGGTCCAGCTCCAGCCGTCACTATAGAGTGGGAAGCACACTGCCAGAGCGGCCGCTGCCCAGGCTGGGATTTGGAAGCCATAGAGGCAGAGTTTGGGGAGAGAAAGAAAGATTTCTGCTGCTTTCCTTGCATGCAGCCAAAAGCAGAAGCAGCAGAAATCTGTCTGTCTTTCTTTCTTGAGCTTGGCCACAGCCACCCCTGCCGAGACCTGCGCCCAGCTTCAGGACGCGCCAGGCCTGCCGTTGTAGTCATCCGCGACTGCCCACTGCACATGGAGGCCTCTCTGCCGCCGGTGGCCGCTCTGCCAAGGAAGCCCCGAGGCTGCGACGCTTGCACTGGGGCTGCTGTGGTGGGCGCTCAGTAGCACAGGCTATGCGGACATGACACCTGGGCACAGGAACAAGAGCAGGAAGGCCGCCACCATGGCGCAGGAGCAAGCGCTCGAGTCTATGGTCGGTGCCGTGGGTGGCGAAAGGGACGGTGGGAGTTTGCAGGGATGTGGTTGCCTTGGGAGGGTTGGGGGGTGAGGGACCTCTGTGTGTGTGTGTGTGAGAGAGAGAGAGAGAGGAGGAGCTTATTTTGGGGGGAGGGCGTATATTTGGCCCACCCCAAAAATCAGGCTTGGCCTTATTTTTGGGACATGTCCTATTTTGGGGGAAACACGATAGCTCTTTCCTTAAGTTTGTTTTGTTTAGATCTCCCAAAATAATGGCCAGTGAATCGGGGTATATGGCTTCAGCCTCCGTAATCTGGTCAGCTAGAGTTCATAATGTCTTGTTTACACAGGCTTGTGGAGGGACATAAATAGGAATTAGTAGAAATGAGAAGAACTCGCATGGACAGTAAAATGGTTTACAGTTGATAAGTAAAGACTGTAAGTTTTCATCCCAGAATTTATATATTATAGTTATATCCTGAGACCAGCTGTTGTTGATATGTAAGCATAAGCCTCCTCCCTTCTTTTTATCTGATGATTCTGCAACTCTTATCTGCTCTATGTATCTGAAACCCTGGAATTTGCATGCTGTTGTCATCAATATCATCATGTAATTAGGTTTCAATAAAGCATAGGGCAGCTGCGCTATGAAAATTAAAGTTGCATCTATTTAAAAGGAGTATTTCACCCATCTTGTTAGCAAGTGAACCAGTCGTGAAATGTAAAATTTGTTACTACCTGTTCTGTGGGCATGGTTTGGTGGGGGGTAATGTGACTGACTGGGTGTGGCGAACTTTTTTTTTTTTAATTTTTAAAACCATTTTTTCTCTTTCGGCCGAAGAGGTTGTTTAAAAAATGCTTTTAAAAGCCTCTGACGATCCCAGCTGAGTTGCCTGATCGTCAGAGGCTTTTTTTCTTTTAAAAGCCTCTGACGATCCCAGCTGAGCTGCCTGATCATCAGAGGTTTTTTTTTTTCCTTTTAAAAACATTTTTCTACAACCTCTTCAGCCGAAGAGGTTGTAAAAAAAATGCTTTTAAAAGCTTCTGACGCTCAAGCAACTCATCTAGGATCGTCAGAGGCTTTTAAAAGCATTTTTTAAACAACCTCTTCGGCCAAAAGAGAAAAAATGGTTTTAAAAGTCTCTGACAATCCCAGCTGAGCCGCGCAATCATCAGAGGCTTTTTTTTTTTTTTTTACTTTTAGAAGCATTTTTTTGGCCAAAGAGGTTGTAGAAAAAATGCTTTTAAAAATTAAAAAAAAAACCCTCTGATGATCTCGCGGCTCAGCTGGACATGGGGGGCGGGCAGGGATTTTTGCTACCGGTTCTCCGAACCACCCGGTGCCATCACTACTGGATTGGATGATTCGGTCCGAACCGGGAGCATTTCACCCCTGAAGTGAATGTAAATTTGTCAGGAAGATCAAAGGCAGAGCAGTTCTATTTCCTCTATTCCTTAGCCTGTTTAAAATTCCCGCCCTTTTACCTCTGTGTCACCTTCCTCCGTTTGTTTTGTTTTTTGGTAATCCATAGCTCTGGGGAAATTGCTTCTTCCTGTGTTAGAATCTCCTCTGCGTTTGTAAAGACAAGGGGAGGAGTGGGGAAGATCACAGAAAGCTGCTCCTTAAAGAAACGTTGCTTAATTCTTAGCAGGTGGTCTCATGAGTATGAAATCCATAATGAGTCACAGACTGTAATAAAAAATAAAGAAACCATTAGAGAGCATTTCACCGAAGCAGCCTTCGGCGGCACCATCTTGGATCAGCCTCAGTCTTGCCTCAGTCTCTATATGTCCTCCAGATCTGCTTTGAATAGATTTGCAGGGTGCATTGAAAGGGTGGAGGAGAACTCAGAGATGTTCCTCTGCACAAATGGAAGTGGGCTCATTTAAAATTAACAGTGTTCTATATTTTAACCATTTGATCATAATTATAGATAGAGCCTTAAAAGTAGGGAAGCCACATTTACCTAGAAAGGCAAGTAAATTTACCATTTTATCCTCTTCTGTTATAGGTCTTCTGCTCCAGCTTATTCAGATTTACCATTCATCAGAATATCCCCACACAGAAATCCTGTTGCAGCATCAGAATCTCCTTTTAGTCCACCTCATCCATACATTAACCCTTACATGGATTATATCCGATCATTGCACAGCAGCCCTTCTCTTTCCATGATCTCAGCTGCTCGGGGACTGAGCCCTACAGATGGTGAGTTAAAATCTGGTTTCTATTTGCTGTTGTAGTTGCATTATCTATGGTGGCCTATAATGTTAATACAGATTAATATGATTGGATAGTTGCATTAATTTTTTGAATGCATCCCTTCTAATAATTTGCAGATTCATTACATACCTATTACATCATAATTGTTTTAGTATTTTATTTTCTTAAGGCCAGCCATTTATACATGACATTTTAGTTGCTTTTAAAATAGAAGTAAACTAAAACATATGCTTTTCATCCTGCCCAGGTAAAATTATAAATATAAGGAGGAATTCTTGAGGATACCAAGACAAGGCTGTTTTATGGCACATGCCATAAGAAATGAGAAATAATGTTTATCTATTTTCCATAGTACTTTGATAATTTGAAAAAAACTACAATTCTTCTCAAGTTGAATTGTTTTGGGAAGGTGTCGTAAGAAGAGATTTAGGGATCTAACTACTGTTATCCATGAAGGAATAACTTAATTAATCCATCTAAATGACAGTGAAAGCAGTAAAAGTTATGACAAATTTAATGCATAAATTGCTAAAACCAAGTCTTTTTCTGCAGTATTGATGATTATAGTTGTAGAAATTCATGAAAAGAGCACAACTGACTTCAATCCAAGTCTATGTACAAATATTTCATCTTGTTTAGAATCAGATCAAAACTAAGCTACTTGAACTTAATGCTTGTTGAAATAATTTTCACAATTTTAAGAGTGTGTTCAATGCAAGAAGAAGGAAAGTGGCTTTTGATTCCCTGCATACATAGTTATTCCATTCATTGATTCAATACAAAAATGGAAGATACATTAGTATCTTTACAGGATTCAATCCTGGCCCAATCATCCTGGGCATCCTTTCTTTGAACTATTACCATCTGGCAGACGGTACAGGATAATAAAAACAAGGACAAATAGGCTGAAAAACAGCTTCTATCTCAGGGCAGTAACTACATTGAATTCTACTGTATATTGCAATATTAATGCAATATCGGTTTTCAATTCAATTGTATAGCATGTGAAGGATGTGTGTTTGTGTTTTATTTTTATAATTATAATGTATACTGAAGATGGCATTTAATTTCTGCTCCACACTCAGAATTAACAGTATTTGTGCTGCACCAAGGAGGCCAAGGCATGCCGAGAGAGTGGGGCCAGTGGTAGCTGCATTCCCACTCCCATCGGCCCTCGCACTCACCGCCTCCTGCACTTAAAAAAAACAAGACTTCCCCAAAAATAAGCCTGAGTGCTTATTTTCAAACCCAAAAGAAAATAAAACCAGGTCTTATTTTCACAGTACCATCTTGTCCCCAACAATCTGGATCCTCATTTTACCAACCTCGGAAAGATGGAAGAGTGAGTCAACCTTGAGACCTCATCAGGATCAAGCTCCAGGTTATGTGCAGAGTTTATCTGCAATACTGAACTTTAACCACTGTGCCACCGGAGCTTTAATTATGATTGTCTTTGCTGTAGAGATCCCCTTATCAGTATCATCTATTCTTTAAAAGATTATTGTTATTGTTACTGTTTTGATTCAGTCCATCCATATTTTTTGATGAGTTCATACAATAAATCTCAGTGAACATAAGGAAAGTTTTATCATGCATTTGATTTGCAGATTTTGTATATTCTGAGTACATATTTTTAGGAAAGACATTCAGCATTACATTATTTAAAATCCAAACCACATGATGAATATATTCATAAAAATTAATAACTGTAACAAATCCTTTTGTGAAAATCTTTCTTGTAGCAATTCATTACATAGACTAAATTACCATGTTTGCTTTTATTTCATAGTTGCTGATAAGAGCCAGTAATAAAGTAAAAAATATGCATCCCCGGGTAACTAAAAGGATTCATTCAATTTGTAAAAACAAATCCTTAAAAATATATTCAAAGTAAAATAATATTTATAAATTGCAGAGGAATAAAAGATGACTGGTGTTATCAAGGTTCATGGATAACAGTAAATCATAAATCATATGTTAGAAAATATAATGATTGGTTCCCCCTGTCATGTTAACCCAAAATAAAACAATGTGTGAATCACACATTGACTTTACTAGAAATTTCATCTCCAGCATAAGCATATTCATTTTTTTGGTTGCTGCTGTGTTAAATGAACAGGAATATAACTGCAATTTAAATGTTGCCTAGTGGTAATTTCTGCTAAATTGAGTTATAATGGATCAAAATATATTGTGCATTGAAGACAACAAAACTATTTTAATTAAGGGAAAAGTCGTCGGGCGGCGCCCAGGGGTAGGGCGTTCTCTGTGGATGCTCCCACCCTCTGGAATGAGTTGCCTACTGAGCTCCGGACAGCTCCTGATCTCCACTCCTTCCATCGGGACCTGAAGACTTGGCTGTTCAAGCAAACAGGCTGACTCTGATTCTGGGTTTTATTATTTATTATTTATTAGTTAATTTGGTTTAAAATGGAATTTTGTTGGCTTCTGGTTTGGCTTCCATCGTCGCTAGACGGTCTTTTGGGACCGCCACCCCCGCCGCCCGTAAAGAGCCATCCTTACAGCTGGGAGGCGGCTCGAAAAACTCTGTTTCCTTAAGGAAATGTGGGGTGAGCCGGCAAGAGCAGGTAGAGCCCTCTGCGAAGTCCCCAGAGTTTTTTTTTTTACTCTTGAGGAGGAAGCAGGATGAGGCTCCCTATCCAGCTCGCCGCTGCTCCGGGCTGCGGGAGAACTCTGCGCTTTGCAGAGCTAGACGATGTGACCAACCTAATCAGCGAAAACTAAGAGATTGATTGAATAAGCAGGATGAAATCTGGATTTGGGACTCTAAATCGCAAGTATTTGTAACATGATTGATTTTAAGAATGAAGAAAGAGTGAAAAGGGGGGAAAAGTTTAAAATGGCGGCTGGCTGAGGCTTGAGAAGAAAGCTGAAAGCGAAAGTCTTTCCGTTTGAATGGCTTAATATGTTACAAAGTATCTAGCAATAGTGCTGGCTACCAGAGAAGAAAAAAAAATTCTGTTTTATGCTTCTTCCTTTCTTAGAGACTTGATATTGATATTGTGTGGAGAGAAGACTTTTGCTTTAAAAAGAGTCTGTTTGTGTGGCAGGATGGCGTTAAAACTGACAAAGCCAGACAACCAAGCTGTGGGAGAGGGCTCCCCCATTTATAAATCACAAGAGCAATTTTTGAGCTCGCAGATGCAGAAAGATTTAAAGGAATTTGTTGTGGAGGAGATGGCAAAACATGATGAGATTATGAATCAGAATCTTGAAAAATTTAGACAGGAAATTAAAGAGTTGGTTCAACAAAAGTATGATAACCTAAAGCGATATATTGTAACAACTTTGAAAAGCTTATCAGAAATAACTCTAAAGATGGATAAAGATATCAAATTAGAAATAGAGTCTAAAATGAAGGAAGCTGATCATAAGATTCATAATCTGGATAATAAAATACAAAGAATTGAAAATGATTTGACAATGATTCAAGAAAATAGCTCAGAAGTAGACTCTAAAATGAAGGAAGCTGATCACAAGACTTACAATGCAGATAATATAAAGCAAAGGATTGAAAATGAAGTTACAATGATGCAATTTAGATCCATGGAATTTGCGATCAGAATGAGAGGAATACAGGAAAATAACAGAGACTTGAGAAAGATGTCTGCTGAAGTTCTGGCTGTGATCTTAAAGGTCAGCATTGAAGAAGTACTCTGTAAGATTGATAAGGCCTACAGAGTAAATTCTTGGGTGGCAAAGCAAAGACAATTGCCTAGAGATGTGGTAATTTATTTTACTGATAAAGGAATAAGAAATGATATTGTGCAAAAGTCTTTCAACTCCACTCTAGAAATGAATGGAATGAAGATTTGGATATATAAAGAGCTGCCGCCCAAGATGTTAAAAAATAGAAAGGACTTTGGATTTTTGGTGACTGAGCTAAAGAAACAAAACATCCCATTTAGGTGGGATGTTCCAGTTGGTATAATATTGAGATATCAAGGAGAAAGATATCAATTAAACACTGTTGAAAAGCGGAAGAATTTTACTACAAGGTTTTTGAAATGGGCCCAACATCTCCACATATGTCATCAGTGTCAGGAATACAGGAGGGGGATAAAGAAAAGCAAAATGAACAAAAGATTGAAACTCAGGCCAAGCAGATGGAGATGGAGGTAATGGAAAAACGACAAGTTAAAGAGGGCTTTTTGGATGAGCCACTTTTGGATTCTCCTTCAGAGGCTATAGCTGGATCACCTATAAATACAAGAGAGGTGGCTTTGGATCTCGATTTGATGTCTTATCAAGTTAAAGACCAGCATGTAATTCAATCAGTTGATATACAAGTCCTAGAAAGGCAACCAGGGTGGAGACCTAAACCACAACAAGTTAAGAAAAGAAGAAGCAGGTTCTACAAAACTAAAAAAATTTAAACTACAATTTTTTTTTTAGCCAACAGACTAATGCCAGTTATTTAAGAGACAATTAAATAAAATAAGCGGGATTTATAAAAGGCTGATACATGAAAATAGTTGAGGCAAATTACAGACTTATACTATTTTGAGAAGAATAACAGATCTCTGCAGTGCTGGTGTTTTTGGGATGTGGAAGATGGCCTGTGATTGAGCGGATTGGAACTTTCTATTTTGGACTCTCTGAAAAATGGATTACGTATATGTTGAGCTATAAGGCAAAAGAACTATGGAATTGGGGCATGCAGATGATCTGGCTGTTACCCTAACGTGGTTGTCAGAATTAACAATCTAGACAAAAGACATTACAGAAGATACCATATGGAATATGAATATAAAGTCACTCGGGTTTTTTTATATATATATACAGAAATACTTATTAATGATGGGGGCAGATGGTAATTGAAGATACTGAAAATACTGTTGGAAGCAGGACTTGATGTTACCCTAACATGGTCGATGGAATTAACAATCTAGTTGAAAGACATTACAGAAGATACTATATGGAATACAAATTTAAAGTCATATGAGGGTTTTACTTATATATGG